AGATGTGTATAAGATTAATATACAGTATGTCAACTTTTTAGGCATGAACAACACGCATAAATTTACTTATTTTGAGACAATTAAAATATGGCCTTATCTATATGCATTAATAATGAATAATAATCATATTGAAAAATTCATCCAACTTGTATGCGGTATAGACATTAACATGATTTTAACTAAATAATTATATATATACATATATATTTGATCCACAATATTTAAACAAGACTAGCTACAACTGGTTTATCTGGGATTTAAGCTAAGACTTACAAAATACGAAGAAAAAATAAGTATGAGTAAAATACCATTATATTTTTAAAACAAAGTGTAAATGTTTAATATTTCTTATATCGAAAATGTTTCAAAGTTACTATCCAACACAATAATCTTTTTAAAAACTTGGAAAATAACATGTAAAAGTTATTAATTATACAATGGTAATAATAAAAAAAAAATCTTAAGAGAGAATTATCTTGGTCTAATATTTTAAATTTCATCATCCTGTCATGTTGTGCCACTAAGATGGTTGAATCCAATATAAAAAAAAAAAAAGCGGGACCGAAAATTTTAACAATATTTTGATCAAACTGATGAAATTGGGAAATGGAAGTGTCAAAAACAAAAATCCCACTGTCCGCCTCTCTGTGAATGTAAATATTCCAATATTCTTATTAATAAATGGTAGGCTTTTAGGCATAATTAAAATTGTACCATAAGAAAATTTCTAAATTATTGAAATATGCTATCTGCTATCAAAAATATTTATTAAGCTTTTTTTTATCAAAAAATATATTGTATAAAATTACTCTTTAAAAATCGTTAATTACATATACTGTATTGGAATAATTAGTAAAATCAATTCAGCATAGATATATCCATCAAAATCTTTGCAATGCAGGCACACATAGCTCTTTTTCAAATTAACTAACATTAACATATAGCAATACAAAAAACCCAATACAATCATACACGTCAATACAAAAATACAAAGTACTTAAATGGAAAAATAATCTTGTACTTATAATACAAAAACATTGAATATATTAAAATACAAAGATAATAATTATTAAAAAATACAAAGATATAATTATTAACAAATACAAAAACACTGAGTATCATCAAATACAAAAGTAATAATTATTATCAAACGTAAAAATACAGATTATTTAATATACAAATAACAAAAAGCAGAGCAAGAAGCTTAAAGCATTCGGTTTGTTGAAGTTTACTTCAGAATTAAAATGATGTAATTCACAATTGCAATCTGCTAATAATTGTTATCAAAAGAATTCAAAGTTACTGTAATCCAAATTGCTACATCTAAAATTCCTACAGGAATGAGTTTTCACATTAATTTCAATACTTATTTATTTTATTCTGCTATAACTGCTGGCTTTTTGACAGGTTATTTTTCTTATTTTTTGGTTATCATGACGCTGGAATATTCAGTCTCCGGCTGCGTGCGGATAATTTTGTCTTTGCTTCCAGTATTGACATCTTTGGTGAGGTCTAGATCAGCGTAAGTCAGTTGTTTTTCAGTCTGAATAAAACAAAATTAGCAAACAATAAAAAGTGTTGAATGGATAAAATAAATATGAATTAAAAAATAATCACATTATTTGTATACTGTATTTATTTGAATAAATGCTTTTATTGTTGAGAAGGTTTTTTGAAGGTGTTTATTCAATGGAGGCTTTATTCGAAAGAGGATGTTAAATGGATAAGTATACTTAAATAAAAACACTCTTGAATTTCACTGGAAATGTGGAACTAAAACACATAATTACTGTCAAATTGTGTTATTGCATGATCATAATTAAAAACCTATTGATCCCAAACAGGTAAGAAAAGTGTAATTCTACTGGAGTAGAACATTAACAGAATGTGTTGAGAATTAAGTTTCTTCCATTTAGTTTTGTTAACAGTCATTTGAAGGGGGGAGGGGGCGTGCATTTATTCAAGAAAAAAATTATCGCCCTGGGATGTTTATTTGAGGGAGGCGTTTTATTCCAAATGAGGCTCTGAACAGGGGGAATTTATTCAAGGCAGGGTGTTTATTATTATTCGAATAAATATTGTATCCACACTCTAAAATCCATTACACTATTAGTCTTTCCTTACATATGTTACTACTGTAAATAAAACTGTCTAACAACACCAGTGTAGCCTTACCCTGACACTGGAATATTCAGTCTCGGGATCCGTATGGATAATTTTACCTTCACTCTTGACAAGATCAAGGTCAGCATACGTCAGCTGCTCTACATTCTGGAAAAAATAAAACCAATATTTATAGGATGGGATCTTATTGTTTAAAAACTTTTACAATAGAAACTCTAAAAAAAACTTATTCTTTTTTAAGCTGTTGGCAATGTATTCATACAAATAAACAAGTCATATGTGATTCAATAGGCTTACAGTGCATACTCAATACAATTTATTATTAACTATATTATATTTTAGATCGTATACATTAACGACTATTCATTACTAAACTAATACAGTATTGCAATTCATTACTAGATCACAAATGCTTTACACAGTTAAGTACTCAATAATGTACAGGATAACCCACAAAAGTCTGAAGGCGGCTTATTTTCAGTGGGATCCTTCTATGGGTGATTGGGCAGTACACTGTGAGAAAACCCCCCCTAACCCTCTACTCTTTTCTGAAGAGTGTACTGAGTTTTTAAACATGCACATATGGGGGGATAACTGTTTTTTTTGTTGTTCTATTGTTCATGTTTTATGATCGGTTTATTTTATTTCTGTTTTGACCATAAATTGTTTGCCCTTTTTTTTTTTTAAATGATAAATAGGAGCAGGCGGAAAAAGGTTTTTTTTAAAAAAAATACTCATCAGATGGCCTTATATACACATAAGCTTTGGAATACTAAGTATATAAATAAATTCAACAATCTTATTTTACCCTTCATATTACCACATCTTTTATTTTTTCCATGAGCACTGGTATATAAATTTGTAGTAATTGTTATTTATGCATAATTGTATTCTACTTCATGGCTTGGTAACTAACAGCATAAAGCTATACAACAGTAGTCACCATGATTTGACGCAATGCGGCAATAGTAGTTAATTCACCTACTGTCTATCTTATTTTTTATATTTTGCAAATAATAATCATAAAAGGTAACCACTGAAAACAACAAAAAGACCTTTGCTTGACATATTTCCTTGTCAAAGTACACTGACTCACTTCCCCTGTCAACAAGGAACCACAAAAATAAAATCCAAAATCATATCAGCACTTCACTAATAATATGAATCATTGATTTTACTTAATGTTTGTATTGGTGATTGTTAGTAGGAGACCTAAATGTATAAGTGATTGCTGGCAAGTGATCTTAGTAACGTCAACATGATTAGTAAAGAAATACTCCAAACATTACAGTCCAGAGAAATAACAAAATCATAAGTTACTTAAAAAATAAATAGGAACTTAAAATCAGCCACTACTTCCTGCCTACTTCAGAACATTATTTAAAATAAATTAATCTAAAAACATGAATATATATTGGAATCAAGTAAATCAGTAATATTTTAATATCTCAAACAATTTAATTCCTATAAATTTTATGACTTGTATATTTACAAATATACTTACAGCTCTGTCTCTACTGGGTGCACGCTGTGGTTTGTCAGGGGGTTTGGTTTGGGTTACAGCTTGTTCAGAATGCTGTGACTTTGTAGCTTTTACTGGCTTTGGTTTTTGTACTTGTGCATAGGTATTAATGCCAACATCAGAAAAGTTTGAATTTAAACCAATATTTTCTGAGCCACCGCCACTTGCTTTTTTTGCACTATAAGTGGTACAAGATTTAAATCAGATATTTAAATTTCAAAAATGCATAAAATTAATCAATTTTAAAAATTTGTATGGCAAGCAGGTGCATAGGAAAAGATACTGTAGGTGCCAGATAGGATACTAGAAGACGGGAACCTTGAGTTCGCAGAGAAACACTACATGTTAGTTGAGTCTAAATACATAAGGAAGTATAGCTATAATAATGTAATGGTTTTAATACACTACAGCAAAGCAGTGCACTGTAAGTAGAAAAATGCAGCATTTTAGCATATATTTTTATGAGTAGATCTGGGAAAAATCATTTATAATAAATTTCAAATCAATGTTAAAATGTTGCTAAATCATACATTTTTTGTTAATGCAGCATTAGTAGCCTTTGTTTCTTTTTTGAGATTGAATGAAATCATGGGGTATTAATTTTTTATAATCACTTATAAATGAGTCGAGAAAGTTTGAAATAGTTGGAACTTCCGTGTCATGACTTTGTTGAACTCCACTCTTTACATTCAAACTGACCAATCATATTGGACACACTTCACACTGCTAAGAAAGCAATTACTGTATTGAGGATTACACTGAACTGAATAGCTGAAGATAGTGATCCACAACAGAGCTGTATGGACCAGCACACACGGGAATGCCCTACTAGTTTCCACAGGTGACGATACAGGGGGTTTTTTTTGGTTTTTAAAAAAATCTAAATTATATAGCACCTATCACAATCCGGAGAATATACAAGGTGCTGTCATCAGTCTTTCCCTGGTGACTGGATACTGAGTTGGCAAACCAGCATAATTTCTCTGCTTCCTAGGGAGAATCCCAAGTCATGCTGTTTACACGTACAACCTAATACATTCAATGTCACACCATCCAACCAGGTGGGTGGAGAGAGGAAAATGTAAGTGGTTTGCCCAAGGACGCAAGCATTGTGACGGGCATTGGTCTCATACTTCTGGCCTCACGATTAGAAGTCTAACACCTAACACGCTTCTACAGTTTCACGCGCGCCTATGGTTCCATTAGAGTTCATATATAATAACAGTGGTAATCCTTATCAGAGAAGATTTTATTCACCACTAGAACCATGACAAGTGTTCCGTCTCACTTTCATGGGCGGCGGAACCGGGGGGCCCGGGCCCCCCCACTTTTTGGCGAAAAATATATAATGTCTGGAGAACTTTGTATGATCGGAAATGCAAAAAAAGAAGGAGGGAAGAAGGAGAAGGATGGGAAAGAGAATGTTTATTCAGTAGGCCTACCCGACCAATTCACATTGGTGGATCTGGGAGGAGGGGATCATGGGTCCTGACCCCTCCCTTGTGCAACAAAAAAAGGGGGAAAGAAAAGGATTCTAGACCTACCTTTTCAGGACCCGTGAGCTGATTTTTTTTTTTTTTTGCTATTAGAAAATTAGAATTTTGAAGAACATAAAATTCATTAAAACACACTTCAAATGTCGGGAAAACTCAATTCCCGCGAATCAAAATTTTCCCAGGGATAATCCCCGCACCCCCCTTTTTTTTTTGGGATTTATCGATTCATGGAAAAAAAAATTACGCATGCAACTACTCATTTGTTTATGTATGTATACACACATAAAATAAAAAATGAGAAAAATTTACCTGACCTTTTTAAAGAGGGGAAAACCTTGAAATTTGAAGAACTTTAAAAGTCATTAAAAGACATTTCAGAAGTCAGGTAAGCTCATCTCCTGACATCTAGAAATCGAAATATTTCCGGGGAACCCGGACCCTTTATCTTTGGAGTTCATTGATTAATTGAATCATTTTCAAGGGGTGGGGGGGGAACCTTGAATTTTGAAGAATTTAAAAGTCATTTTAAGACACCACAAAAGTCGGGGAAAGCTCATTTCCCGCCATCTAGGAATCTAAATTTTCCTGGGGAAGAACCACAGGACCTCCCCACCCCCCACCCCCTTTTTGGGATTTATCGACTGTCTCTTATACACATCTAGATGTGTATAAGAGACAGTAATTTTTTTTTATGTATGTATACACACATAAGGCCTATTTACTGTAATAACAGTGGGAAAAAATTATCTGAAAGTTTTCAAGAGTGGAAAACCTTGAATTTTAAAGAACTTAATTACTTTTAAGTTCTTCAAAATTCAAGGTTCTCCTCTTGAAAATTATTATAATGAATCAATGAACCCAGGGAAAGGGATGTTCGAGTTCTTCCCGGGAAAATGTTGATTTCTAAATGGTTAACAATGAGATTTCCCGACTTCTGAAGTATTTTTTAATGACTTTAATTTAAAAGACACCTCAGAAGTCGGGAAAGCTCATTTCCCGCCTTCTAGGAATCAAAATTTTCCTGGGGAAGAACCCCCGGACCCCCCTTTCTTTTTGGGATTCATCGATTCATGGAAAATTCGTATGCAACTACTCATTTTGTTTTTTTAAAATTGTTATGTATGTATACACATAAGCCCTATTTACTGTAATAACAATGGGAAAAAATTACCAGACCGTTTTCAAGATGGGAAAACATTGAATTTTGAAGAACAAAAAAGTAATTAAAAGACACCTCAGAAGTCGGGAAAGCTCA